CCATTAGGATAAAGGATTGATCAACTAGGCTGGTTAAAGGAACGGACCACGGGGGCGATGCCCCTCGAAAAATGCTTCGGGTTTCCCTAAAATCCTTGCACTTTCGCCCGACCTTTTAAGATATGGCAAATGTGATAATTCCTTTCAGAAATCAAGTTAAAAATTAAAAGAGAGTAAAGGGAAAGGGAAAAAATAACGTGAAAAAAGATTACCCATAATACAAAAAAGGGTAAAAAAAAGGACGTGCTCATGAAACTTTATCAAAAATACAAAAAGGGGTTTAAAAAAAAAAAAGTTAATTTCATGAATACAACGAGGGTTTTAAAAAAACGAAGACAAAACGTGTATGACTTTACCCATAAATACAACGATAAACCCAAAACGAAAGGTAATATAAATTTATTTTATTTTAAGTTCAAAGGGGGAGTAAAGGGAAATTTTAATGGAAGGTCACGAAATATGATAAATTGTTTTTCCGTACATAAAAAGAAGACAAAGTTGAGAGAAAACCAGAACCCGGGATATGTATGAAAAGAGGAGTCCCCCGTTTAATAAGCAATGAATGGGGGCAGCACTGGAGAAAAGGGAACTGGGGAAAAAATTTGAACAAAGGAGATGAAGCAAACCCCGAAAATCAAAAGGGCTAGAAATAAATCCTTAAAATCAGGAGGGAAGAGGAAAAAAACGTATAAAAAATGACATGAGGGGAAGGTAGGGAAAGGAGGGAGAAACGTATAAAGGGGGAGGAGTAATGTGAGGGAGAAAACGTGAGGGGAGAAAGAATCGTTTTGAGGGGGAGGGAACGTATGGGGAAAAAGGGTTAAGCGGAGGGTAGGTAGGTAGGGGAGAGAACAGTTGAGGTGAAAGTTAGGCGTGATGGAGAAAGTATGGGGGGAAAAAGTGAAATGTTGGAGGGAACAGTTTGAGGTAAAAAATAAAGTGTGGGGAGAGAACAGTAAAACAAATTTGAGCGGGGAGGCAATGTAAGGGAGAACGTAAGGAGAAAAAGAACAATGTGGGAACGGAATGTGAGAAAAGCGTAAAAAGGAGAGCAGTATGATGGACCGAGGAGAGAGGAGAGAGGAGGAAGGGGAGGGAGGAAGGGAGGGGGGAATAAGGGAATATTGCATGAGCCTGAAAACATCGTTCACAGCGGTCTGTTCACTCTCAAAAACACTACCCTTAATAAACAATCCAGCCCCCCGCGCACATCACGGAAAATTTTCACAGGGAAAAAACCCTTCAAACAAAATATCCAGCATAAATTTTCCCCCTAACGAAAAAAAAAACATATGGATTTGCGGTGGATTTATTTGTATATGCGAGAGAATTCCAAGGGTGCCAATTTTTTGTAATAAAATACATTAATACCTGAGTCAAATAGCCGGGGAAATTGAAAATTTTTCCCTAGAGCGAGGGAGAGAGAGAAAAGGACTAACGGAGCATTTATTTATGGGGGGAAAACGTAAAATCATGGGGTTTTTACGGGGGTTGGGAAATGGGTGTAATGGGGGTTAATCCCAAGGAAAGGGTTTGTTCATTTGGGTACAATCACATTTTTCTTTTTGGGTTTATTAAGTTGCCGTGTATTAACACGTGATTGTTATTAAGATAAAGCAAAAAAGTCAAGAATTTAAATTTTTTTCCCTTGCGGGGGGGGGGGACTCCAGTTTAGTGGAAGAAGAGCCCCTCCAAGCTCAGGCTTTCTTTGAAGGGGAGGAAAGTGGCATAATGGAGCGACTAACACCACCATTTAAAGTAAGCGCCCGAGGCTTGACAGGTGTTTCCGTTTCAACCCGAAATTGAGGTGAGAAAAATAATTTCAGGGCTACCAACCCCCGTCAAAAGTAGGGGAGGAGGCGGCGGCGGCAGGGCAGCCAACCTTCATCTACAATTGCTGACTTTTGCGAGTAATTATGGACTCCCAGGGTCGATATTGATTAATTTTTACCCCCCTTCCCCTTTCCCTCCTTCTCTAACTGGTATGGTGGTGGTGGTGTGTGGGTTACCACGTTACCATGGGTATAGCAACATGGGTGTTAATGGTTAGGGTGGGATAAGCCACATGGGTGGAAATGCATTACCAAGCAACATTATAGAAGGTAGTATGTATGCTGCAAGAGGGTAACCTGGCCCCGCACGCCATATACACGCCACCACGCCGGCCAAAATTCACAAAGAAGTAGCGTTGGCAGCTCCCCAGAAACGGGTCCAAGGGGGTTTGTTTTTTTGTTTCAAATTATGGTTAATTTTAGCGGTGGTGAGAATAAAGCAGCTTCCCTGGCCCGGCTGTGTATTGACGAGGGTAGCAGCTATGATATTTACCCGGTAATGCTGTCCTGGACACCCTATATGAACTTTCTACCTCCGAAATAGAGTCGGTAATAACCGGCCAAGTTGATATCCCCAATACAAAGCCTCTTGTAATTCTCAGTAACCCTGACTTGAATACGGAATGAGTAATACACACACACAACCATTTTTTTTTTATAAACAATCAGATTGCCGCGAGGCTATTATATTTATATATATATATTTTTTTTTCATCTAGTTTGCACCATCAGAAGGTTGTGGCTAGACGGAGCGAGGCTAACCATCCCACCTGATACGGAATGCCGGCGTTCTCCATTATCTGAGGCACAGAGGCCATATAAAAATTTATTATTCCCCCCATCCCCCTCCGTCCCTCATCCCCCCATCCTCCCCCCTTCCGCAAAGAGCTCACAGTAACCAGTTCATCTTTATCTTACGCATTATTACGCCTGTTTGCGCGGGCGTAGGTGTGTACGAGGAGTTCCCTGGAGACGTATGCGTGTTGCTTGTGAGCACTGGAGTGACCAAGCGTGTCCAGGTTCCCTCAGTTTAGTGATATTTGACGGAGTTCTCCATCGTTCACTCAGATCAGCTGGGTGGCCGCATGTTGCTGCCCACATTAGGAAAACGTGTCGGTCGCTTGAGAAATTTTAATAAAACTTTCAGAGTGTGGTTAACCTCCACTAGAACATCATATATACTTACGTGATATATTTGTTATCGGCCGTATGTGAAATAAAGAAAAGTTTGTGCGTATGCAGGAAGTTTGCGGTGAATAATCATGCGTGTGGCCGGGAGGGGTGGGACTTAGTTGCACTGGTGGCCGTCAGAGGGACGGTCGGTCGGAATATTTTTGAGCAAAAAATTATCTAAATAAAATTCGAAAGGCGCCATAGTGACTGGGTTCAAGGTAAGCGGAGGATGTCGGAGTAATTTCGGCTGGTGTGGGTGTGATTGAAGCTGGGAAGCTAGTGATATTAACGGTGTAATCAGCGTTTGAAAAAGAGGGCGGTGGGTGACCCTCCTAACTCTTTCGACCCAAAAACGAAAAACAGGAAAATGAAAGCAGTCGACGTTAATCGAATTTGAGGGAGTCTTAGGTCGGGTCGGACCGCAGCAGTGGATCAGTTCTCTTCGCTATTTATGTCTCCAAAGGTATGTGGACCTGTCATTGCGTGCTAGTGGATACAAGTGCATTAGTGTGTGTGTGTGTGGCGCTCGTCGGAAAAATTTCAAAAGCCAAAATTTGACTAAAAATAACTTGGTGTGGGGGGTTGTGGGTAAGGGATAGGTGAACCCCCACGCTACTAGCACTTCTGGGAAGCCCTGGCCACCCCTACACCAGTGTTATGCATAACCTCAGCCTAAACCTACTTCGCCAGACACTGAAATACAAAACTGGGAATAATTCTCTCCCCTTCTTCTCCTGCCTCTCCTTCAACACACAAATATCCTCACAGGACCGACAACCTGAGGTGAGTGTGCCCTCATTTGGGTGAAAATGTTAGTAGTTAACGTTGATTTAGAATGTGTTTCTAACAGAAAAGTTTGTGCTAACTCCTTTCTCTCTCTTTCACCTCTCTCTCTTTCCCTCTCCCCGTCTCTCGCTCTCTATCTCTTTCCGTCTCTCCACATACCACTAGTAAGTTAGTTCTACGTCCCTCGCCAACCACGTGACTAGTACAGTTCTTGTCTGGCTAGTATTGCTTAGTCAGTTCTTTCACCGAGTTAGAGATAAGTTATTTACGCAGGCAGATGCAGATATACCTTCACAGTGGATAGTGGGATCAGCTGATCCAGCCTCCGTGAATGGATCAGCTGATCCAGCCTCCGTGAATGGATCAGCTGATCCAGCCTCCGTGAATGGATCAGCTGATCCAGCCTCCGTGAATGGATCAGCTGATCCAGCCTCCGTGAATGGATCAGCTGATCCAAATGCGTGAATGGATAGCGGGGTTAGCTGATCCTGGTTGGGTGTGAATAGGACCTACTTAGCATGGACCGGTGGCCTATTCCAGTACTGTATTTTTAGGAAAATAAGAATGGAAGAGCACTGCAGGAGGCCTACTGTTCCGTGTTAGGCAAGTCTAAATCACACCCACTGTTCTTTTCTGTAAGACTGATGAAGCCACTGGTTGGCGAAACGTTTCCACAGTAAAGATACCAAAGTGTTGCACCATTGTCCCATTCATTAACTTGTCGGTTCTCTGAAGTATTTATACAATGATCACTCCCACCTACACGTACTCGTGTATCTGTTCAACCGATTTTTAAAACTGCTTTTGATCTTGTGATAAACTCAGCAGATCCAATCCCTATGAGTGGATAGGATTGTCAATCCGATTCTAGTGATTGGCTAGTAAGATCAGCTTATCCAGTCTCATGAAATGGATTGTGGGATCAGGTGGTTTAGTGGCTATGAAGTGTTAATAAAGTTTGTTGCTATAATCTGATTAAATGACCAGCTAATTCAGCTCTTGTCAGAGAACAGTGCGGTCAACCGATTCCATCCCTGTGAATGTAATACCACCTTAATCCCTCCGAGTGGATTGCAGGCAGAATTGATCTAGTCTCTGAATTTAATAGTGTGTCACTGATTCACAAGAACACAAGACGAGAGTAACATTGCAGCAGGCCTACTGGCCCATGCTAGGAAGGGTCAACTCACATCCACTCGTGCACCTGTCGAACCTAGTTTAAAGTTATCCAGGATTCAAGCTTCAGTGACACTACTTGGGAGTTTGTTCTACTCTTCTATAACTCTGTCGCTAAGCCAGTGCTTTCCAATATCCTTTCTAAATTAAAATTTATCCAATTAGCTCATAAAGTATGCTAATAGATAGTTGGATAAGCATATCCAGTATATGTGAATTGATAATAAGTACTTATAGAATGGTGAGTTGATCCAATGTGAATGGATAGGATCAAGTGATCCATTATATGACTGGATCGTATTTTTGATTGATCAAATTATCTGGATAGTATTTGAGTGATTCAGTATGCATAGGTAGGTAGGATCATCTGGTACAGTATATCAGTAAATTTGTAAGACTTGTAATCAAGTTCTTGTGAACGGAGTGGGCTGGTTGATTCAGTACTTGCCAATTAATAATAAGCTGACTCAGTTTCTGTAAATTGGTATTAATTTGACCCAGTTCCTGCGTGTTGATAGATTGTCTATTATCATTGACCCAGTTCCTTTAAAGTGATAATAGGTTGACCTAATTCCTGTAAATATAGGATGAGCCATTTGCTGTAAATGGGTAATAGGCTGACCCAGTTTTTTTTTTTTTTTTTTTTTTTTTTTTTTTTTTTTTTTTTTTTTTTTTTTTTTTTTGCAAATTGGTAATGGATTGACCTAATTTCTGTATAGTGGTATGTTAACCCATCCTTTACGGATGAAAAGTAAGCGGAATGTACGAGGTGTTACTCATCTACGAATAGTCGGCTGATGTCCCTTGGAGAAGTACAAGGTGACCCAGTGCCCATGAATCACTTAATGGGGTTACTCACCTCACCAGTGGCTGCTTGGCAATTCAAGACTCACCCACCCACTCACTCATGAATGGTTGGGTTAGTTTGTCTCAATACAAGTTAGTTTACCATTGAGGTCAGTTTACCTCTTCATGAATGAGGTCATTCCACTAACAAATGAGGTCAGTCTACAAACTAATGAATGATAAGGACAATTTACCCTCGTGAATGGCAAGGTCAGTCCACCCTCTCAAGAATGATATGGACAGTAGTCTCATGAGGGTCAGTACATCCCATCATGAATGACTATGAATAACAAAGTACTCAGTCCTTTCCTGAAAGTCGTTCCACCCCTCATGAATGACAAGGATAGTCTTCCCTCGTGGATGAGGTCAGTTTGCCCCTCAAATGCAGTGGATGACATCTCTACAATGAATGGGGAAGCCCACGCCTTACGACTCGGTTACCCGACCTATCCAAATGAAAATAAAGTATTTCTCCACCTGTTTGTAGGAGTGGGTTAGCTTACTCATAAATGAGTTTACTCCTACATAAATGTTAATCCACCGCCTCATGAGTGGGTTAAGTTACCCCCTCATGGATGAGTTTGTTTCCCACTGAATAAGTTAGGTCATCCCCTCACAAACGGGCTATTTTTCCCTCACACGAATGGAATAATCCCCCCATGAATGATTTCAGCCTTCATGAATGGGTTTGCTCACAGTCTTAGGACAAAGTTAGCCCACCTCATCAATGAATAGTTTTCCGAACATTTCTGAAGACTAAAGCACAGTACCGTAACTGGAACAATACACAAATATGTAAAGTAAAAGGACACAAGTGCAACTAATGTGACATTTTATTGTGGCAACGTTTCGCTCTCCAGGAGCGCGAAAACGTTGCCACAATAAAATGTCACATTAGTTGCACTTGTGTCCTTTTACTTTACATATTGTCGGTAATTCTACCAACTTTATTACAATACACAAATAACCCACACAGGAGACTGAAACTTGTGACAACGTTTCGGTCACATTAATCCTACGGGTTTAGCGCTTCCCCCTTGATTATTATAATAATTCGGTCCCATTTGGACTATTGTCAATCCATCCATTCGCATTTTACTGCGTAATCGCATACCAGGTATTCAACGTCACCTGGCAACATGATGTCCGGCCTATGAAAAAATCAAAACTGCACAATTATTACCCTTTTCCTGAAGACGATTTCAGGGGATCATCACCCCCTCGGTCCAGTCCTAGACCATAAGAGCATATGAATGATAATTGCAGTAGGCTTAGTGTCCCGTGCTAGGCAGGTCCTGATAGGTTGCTGGTTTGATCGACCAGGCCATTTGTGCTAGCCGCATGCAGTCCAGGTCTAGGGTTGTGCCTTAGTATCGGGTTTGATTAATTTTGATGGCATCGGTGGGTATAGGTTATTTTAAGTAGTATCGGTATTGTCCTAAAATTGAGTATCTGTATCGGCAAAAAATTTTGGTATCGTTCCATCCCTAAGTCCGGCTTACATACCACAGCCGCTTATCATGAACTGATTTGAAGGACTTATGTTGTCTCTCAAGACAGCAGTGGATTTGTTGGTAATTCCCCTTATGTATAAAGGGAAGGTACTGAAGAGTCTTGGTCTCTTTACGCTTGCTTATTGCACCCCTCCTTTTCATTGGAGGTATTTTGCACCATCAGCCGTCGGCCTTCGTAGGGAGTAGTGCGAAAATAGACTTTTCTCATCACTACGAGTGATGAACGTCCATATTGAACGTTTCCAGGCTTTCTCCGGCTACCCCGTTGCCAGATGCATTGCAGCCTTGTTTATTTTGCTTATTTGCGGTTAAAAGTTCGTGACGCCGTGAAAATGAAGATATGCTGGGAGAATGGGTTTGTGAGGAATGACCCCCGAGACTAATATTATCTAACTCCTTTCACTTGTGAATTAGCTTACCCATGAGGAGACTCATTCATCCCTGGCAAAAGAACGGATGACCCAGGCCGTGAATGAGACACATTCTGGTGTTTCTGTTGAAGCACAGCTGGTTCACCTGTCCACACACAGTCCATTCACGCAGCACGGGTGTACGAGTGCAGGTTTACACGTTTCCGGGTGTTACTTGCCCATCCCGTTGTCAGTGTTGTGGCCGTAAGTTCGCAGGGAGCGTTAACACATCAACATGGGGATAATACTAGTATAGGAAGTTAATGAAGTAAGATGATGTTAAGGATAGGTTGCCTTAGTAATAAGTTGGTATTCTTCAAGAGTTGAGTAAGCTAGTGGATTACACTCGGATAAGCTAATAGATTATTTGTGTATTGTTCCAGTCACGGCATTGTGCCATTTTTTTTGTTATTTAGTAGATTACCTCCCTAGGTTAACTAGTGGATTACCTCCCCAGGTTAGCTAGTGGATTACCTCCCCGGGTAAGCTAGTGGATTACCTCCCCGGGTAAGCTAGTGGCTTACACTCCTCCTCAAACCCAGCTAGTGGCTCCTACCCCCTTTCTCCATCATCTCCTCATCCCAGCTAGTGGCTAGATCCCTTCCTCACTCCCAGCTAGTGGTTTACACCCTTCCCTCTCCACTCTCAGCTAGTGGATTACATCCCTCCTCACTCCCAGCTAATGGATTACATCCCTCCTCATTCCCAGCTAGTGGATTACATCCCTTCTC